TCACGCCGGTGTCCCCTGGGCGCCACGGCTCAGGCCCCGGGAGGAGCCGGGGAGGCGGCGGAGAGGCGGGGCACTATATATCCATATTTATATTATCTATATTATCTGTATCTATCTCCACCCATGCATCTGTCTATTTTAGGCACATTGCATAAACCTCATGTAAGAAATACTGGCCTGAAATGTGTTTGATTGCACAGTGATGAAATGTTATGTGGAAATGGAACGGTAGATGCTGAGCCTGTGGATGGCCACTGTGAGGCATTGTGTGGTACAGAAGACTGCTTTGTCTGTCTTGCTGAGGTGATGTAATCAGCCCAGGTAGCTTCGTTGGCCAGAGCAGAGAGTTCACAAGATCATCGGTTCTGTTCTGCTTGAGCTGGTTTCTTTCACATGTGGAATAAAAAAACACACCCAGCCCCAGCTGGTTTGGCTCAGTGGATAGAGCGTTGGCCTGCAGACTGAAAGGTCCCGGGTTCGATTCCGCCCAAGGGCACATACCTGGGTTGGAGGTTCAATCCCCAGTGGGGGGCATGCAAGAGGCAGCTGATTGGTGATTCTCTCTCATCATTGATGTTTCAATCTCTCTCCCTCTTCCTTCCTCTCTGAAATCAATAAAGAAATATTTTTTAAAAAACCAACCTTCTCTATCATACCTGTAACACCTGTCTGCACCCAGCCAGATATGTCACAACTGCACAGCTATTCAGGGCTTTTGTTTTTGCTTTGCAGACCTTGGTGTGGGAAGGCACCTCGTTTGGGTATTCCCTAGCAGAGCAGAGAACAGCTTATTTCCAGGGCTGGAGTGTTAACAGGGTCTACCTGTATCTGAATACAATCTTATTTTCCATCCAGGTGAGCTTCAGCATCGAGGCCAAGGTGCGAGGCTGCCCCCAGGAGAAGGAGAAGTCCTTTACCATCAAGCCTGTGGGCTTCAAGGACAGCCTCACCGTCCAGGTCACCTTCGACTGTGACTGTGCCTGCCAGGCCCATGCCGAGCCTTACAGCCGCCGCTGCAACAATGGCAATGGGACCTTTGAGTGCGGGGTGTGCCGCTGCGGGCCTGGCTGGCTGGGGTCCCAGTGTGAGTGCTCAGAGGAGGACTACCGCCCCTCCCAGCAGGACGAGTGCAGCCCCCAGGAGGGCCAGCCTGTCTGCAGCCAGCGGGGCGAGTGTCTCTGTGGCCAGTGCGTCTGCCACAGCAGTGACTTTGGCAAGATCACGGGCAAGTACTGCGAGTGTGATGACTTCTCCTGTGTCCGCTACAAGGGGGAGATGTGCTCGGGTGAGTAGAACTGCATATCCCTCCCATCCTGATGCCCACACACACTCACACATCTGAGCTTGAGGTGGGCACAGGAAGGCCTATGGGGCAGAGCTGAGTAGATGGTATTTTACTCCAGTGGGAGAAAACAGAAATGAGGTTCTCTTTCATTCCTCTCAGCTCCCTATGTCCTTGTTCGTGGGGTACAGGGAAATTTGCTCATAGGAAGGAGTGGGGAAACTTGAAGGTGAAGATAGTTTTTTTCTTTTCTTTCATCTACCCTCCACCTAATATTGTAAATCATTGGTTCCTCATCGTTTTGAGGATATGGACCAATCCTTTTTCAAGGAGAAAAAAAATCACTAAATGATGGTAATTAAATTTCTAGTATTTATAGATTTGGAAAATACATGATGTCAAAATATATGTAAACTAGGTAATAATTGTCTTACATGGATTTATCTTTTCATCACAAAAAGACTTGGAAAATAGTAATGGATACCCAAGGCATTGGAGCACATTTAATGAGCCAAGTACACTTGGCACAATGACTGGAAAACAGAAAGCTCTTATTAAATGTTGGCACTATTTTGTTATCACTATGGGTATTACTATTACTTTTTGGATTCTAGATCTGTGCTGATCAAATGGTAGCCACTGGCCACATTTGGTTATTTAAATCTAAATTAATCAATTCAGTTAATTAAAATTAGAAGCTCAGTTCCTCTGTTGCTCAGGAGCCACACGTGGCCAGTGGCCACCACGATGGACAGCACAGATGTATATGGAATAGCACTGCCGTGGAGAGTCCCGGCCTGCCGACTGGGGATTATGATATTGAGTCCTTCTACCTGCAGGATACTGAGTTGTTGTCCTTCTCATTACAACAATTCAGTAAAACCTTGGCCCATTGATCATCTCAAACTAGCTTCTCCTTGTCCCAAAGACCACTCCTGGGGTACTTCCCCAGCCAGAAAAAGTTGAGCTGATGTTGACGTAGTCTTTATCTGCACTGACAATACTCTAGGACAGTGATGGCGAACCTTTTGAGCTCGGCATGTCAGCGTTTTGAAAAACCCTAACTTAACTCTGGTGCCGTGTCACATATAGAAATTTTTTGATATTTGCAACCATAGTAAAACAAAGACTTATATTTTTGATATTTATTTTATATATTTAAATGCCATTTAACAAAGAAAAATCAACCAAAAAAACGAGTTCGCGTGTCACAGGTTCGCCATCACTGCTCTAGGAGGCAAATAGGCCGTCTGGGTTGTTCCCAGGGCACTGGGTAATGGGTCAGGGAAAATGCAGTCGCTCTTTCCATGCAGCTTGCCCTTCTCAGATGATATCTCTCTCTGCTCCTCTCCTTGATGAGCCAGCCCTTCCTTTTTTTTTTTTTTTTTTTTTTTTTTTTTTTTGGGCTGTAACCACTGTGGCTTAATCCCTCTTGTGACAGATTGAAGATGTTTGCAAATTGGTTGGGACTGGTTTATGGGTGTCTTGTGTGGCCAATCAAACAGAGATTATAATTGGCTTCTATGGTGACCAAATCCATGACCCAAGTTGGCTTCATTTGCATTGGGGTTCTAACCAGCTGAGCTCATCTACCAGATGTTCACTTTAACATCAGCCTTTAAAAAGACTTGATGACAAAGGTAAATCGATGTCATTCTAAAGCATGTCCAATAATATAAAAGTGGCTCCTGTTTATTATCAACATTGTTTCCTTTACTCATGCCAACAAAGAATGAGAGAGGTTGGAGAAAAGGATATCAGAGCAATTAATTGAGAGATCAGACACACACACACACACACACACACACACACACACACACTAGCAGTTTGAATTAGGAGATGAGGCAGGAGTAAGTTCATTTTAATATTTAATGATATTTACATCATATTCAAAGTACCAAAGGGAATGGGTAAATTTGACATGGGAGATCCCTTGTGGGGGGAGATGGGGGCTGAAGGGGAGAGGGTTGTTGGAGAGGCCTACAGATAGCCCACTGTGGGCCCCAGGGACAGAGGGAGGTGCACTAGGCTTCCATGGCCTGATTGTTCCTGGCCTAGTGTGGGAGGGATCCCAGCAGAGTGTTTCCTTTGGCTGCCAGCCCCACTGAAGCCACGAAACATAGCTGCTGGGGTCCGCAGCCCCGGTTCCTGCCTCCCACCAGGGCAAGAACAGCCTGTCCTCTATGTGCTGCACCCTCATTCATGAGGGAACCACAGCAGCCACTGCAGCCTCTCGGAGGCTTCCCTCCCCCACTTCCTGCCAGCGTTCTGGGTGCCCACTGGTCTCAGGGCTGGACCCTGTGGTGCGTCATCACATTCCCCAGCGACAGATACTCGGGGACACACGATCATTGAGCACCTGCCCTGTGCCAGGCACCCAGTCCATATGGGTGAGCAGGGGTTGTGCATGATTCCTACCCTCTCCGAGCTTATAGCCCAGCTGGCTATTGTCCCTCCCCAGAGCTGTTGGCCTGTAGTCTATTGTTTGCTGCAAACAGGGGCTCAGGAGGCAGGAGGGCTATGACTTGGCCATTTCTCTAGCTCAGGGGTGGGCAAACTTTTTGACTCGAGGGCCACAATGGGTTCTTAAACTGGACCGGAGGGCCAGAACAAAAGCATGGATGGAGTGTTTGTGTGAACTAATATAAATTCAAAGTAAACATCATTACATAAAAGAGTACGGTCTTTTTTTTTTTTTTTTAGTTTTATTCATTTCAAACGGGCGGATTCGGCCCGCAGGCCGTAGTTTGCCCACGGCTGCTCTAGCTCCTGGCCTCCCCCCTCCTCTCCTTCCCAATGGAGGCACACATGGCCTTCGTGGTTGCACCTTGTCAAACACAGTGAGTGCATCTTTGTCCTGGTGAGACCCTCCCACCTACCACATTCATGTACAGAGATTGATCGCCTCCCCGCCCTCGTGAGCCAGGTTCTGTGCTGTGTGCTGTAGTGATGTGCAATAGAGAGGCATGATAAGACAGTTTGCCCTTCATTCACTTACATGAGCATAAGTCACAACACAAGGCACAACCTGCCCGATCCGAGAAGAGAGGTCCTCAGGGAGTTCCCCGCACAGAGACTCACTGTGGACACGCGAGGCCTGGGTGGCTTCATGGAGGAGGTGGGATATCAAAGGAAGGGCTGGCTCATCAAGGAGAGGAGCAGAGAGAGCTATCATCTCAGAAGGGCTCTGCATGGAAAGAGCGACTGTGTTTTCCCTGACCTGAAATAAGGGCCCCTCCTTGTTGCCTCCTGCCCTACTTTCCTCCTCTTTCTCACACTTTCTCTTCACTTATCCCCCCTTCCTCTGACTTTCCTATGAACCCAGACTCAGCCACCCTGTTGCTGGAGGGGCGCCAGTCCTATGACATTACTACACTGTGGCTTCCTTTTCAGGGTTGACCCCGCCGGGGCTGGGGGTCAGCCTGCTGGCTCTGGCCTGCCACTTCCCCTCCAACCTCACTCCCTGGCCGGCCTGGCAGACCCTTTCCTCAAAGATCACTTTGTTTAGCTTCACAAAGGAAACACTATGGGACAAGGGTTTCTGAGTAGGCTGAGGTCTCTGAGGGCTGCCAGGCCTCTGTGGTGTCGGCCTTTCTCTGGCCGGGAGCCCTGGCCAAAAGGGGGGTGTAGTGGGTACTGTGGGCCCCCCCGCTGGCTGGCACACCCTTTCCCCTGACGCTGTCAGGGCTGCTCATAACAGTGCACAGCTGCCCTTTCTCTGGAGAATTATCTTCCGCTGACAGGAGCTGTCTTGCCCTCAGACCTTGGCCGATGACTGACGGATAAGGGGTTACACAAGGCCAGGTCTTTTGCCTCAAAGGTGGGCTAGGTCTGTGGTGCCATTCATCTCCGGAGCCCACTGTGGCCAAAGGGAGTCTCCAACTGAAACCGCACTCCTGCCAGCCTTTGACGTCTGCCCTGCATCCCTCCCTCCCTTCTACTAAGTCACTTGAACAAGTATCTCCCCATAAGCTGTACTTCTAGGGAACCCAACCTCTTTCTTCTTCTTTTTTTAAATATATTTTATTGATTTTTTACAGAGAGGAAGGGAGAGGGATAGAGAGTTAGAAACATTGATGAGAGAGAAACATCAATCAGCTGCCTCCTGCACACTCCCTACTGGGGATGTGCCTGCAACCAAGGTACATGCCCTTGACCGGAATCGAACCTGGGACCCTTCAGTCCGCAGGCTGACGCTCTATCCACTGAGCCAAACCGGTTAGGGCCAACCTCTTTCTTCTTTCTCCACCTTCTGCCAGCCCAATGTCTCTGCTCTGCATATATACTGGGCAGCTGTGGCAGATGAGGTTGTGTTTCCCATCCTTCCTGGGAAATAGACATTTCTTTCCAGGGCAGTGAGGGTGTGTGTCTGAGTCTTGAATGCCAGTGTGGTTACGAGCGGATGGTGCTGGGGTCACTGGAGAGGGACCTGTAGTGGCCGAGAGACATTAGTAAGACCCACTGGGGAGGAAGAGGGACCAGCTTGCTGCTGTTTGAGCCTGGCCATGGACACCCCCTCCTCCAGCAGCATGCAGCCCGTCTGCTCTCACAGACCAATTCAGGTTACTTCCCCCTTGCTCCCTGCCTTTCCTCTGATTAACAATCAGATTTTTATTATTCATCCACTTCTTCCTGATTCAGAGTCCTGGGGCATGAGTCACCTTTATGCAGGTTTAGGAGCCTTGTTTTAAAGCCTTGTTAAATGAATATTAGGGGAATATAGCATTGAGAGATATTGTCAGCATTTAAACAGTATAAGTTCCACCCTAGTCTCTCTCCCATCCCTACACACATGCAGTAAAGGGAATAGGTCTTTTCAACTAGGGCCGATGTGTCTGTACAATAATACAACACAGAGCACACGTTTCCAGGAATTTAACTAGGATGTAACCTTCATGAGAGAAGGGACCCTGCCTGTCTTGTCCACTGTGGAATCTCCAGTGCCCAGCATGTGGTGTGAGCTCAGTACATATTTGTTGAATGAGTGGATAAATAAACATTAATTGCATGCCTATCAGATGTTATGCTAATCGTCATTGATGCAAACATTAATATTTGGTGCCAGCTGGGTACTGGAAATATCAGGGGGAACACTTTGTAAAGTACATCTGAAAATAATATTGAATGTAAGCTGTAATTGGAAAAAATTAAAAATTAATGTGATATGTGCTCTCCCATCAAGGAACTCACAATCTAGAAAGAGAAACAGATAGACAAGCAAAAGGGTGAACATGAAGGTTAAAATAGAGGTACATACATATGCGTGCTGGCAGAACACATGACTGACTATTGATTTGGCCTGTGGAGGTCAGAAAAAGTCCCAGAGAGGAAGGAACATCTGAGTTGAGCCAGAAGGGTGAATGGGAGTTTGGCAGTGGTCACAGGAAGAAGAGGAGTCTAGACAGAGGGAACAGCATGAATAGAAGCATGGGGATATGAAGATAGTGTAGAAGATGGTGAGCGGTTCCGTGTGGTGACTAGTGTGTGGTAATGTGAGGCGGGTGCTGAGAGATAAAGCTGGGAAGCAGGTTGAGCCACCGATGTGGGGTTGGGGCCCTCACCAACTGCTCTGCCCCCGTGGGCTGTGTGTCTTCAGGCCATGGCCAGTGCAGCTGTGGGGACTGCCTGTGTGACTCCGACTGGACCGGCTACTACTGCAACTGTACCACGCGCACCGACACCTGCATGTCCAGTAACGGGCTGCTGTGCAGCGGCCGGGGCAAGTGCGAGTGCGGCAGCTGCGTCTGCATCCAGCCGGGCTCCTACGGGACCACCTGTGAGAAGTGTCCCACCTGCCCTGATGCCTGCACCTTTAAGAAGTGAGTGAGTGGGGAAGTAAGTTGGAGAGAGTTGGGTGTGAGATTGGGAAGGGGGGGTGTGTGTGGAGAGGGTCCCCCAGACTAGAATCCCCAACTCTCCAGGTTTGGTCTCTTCCTCACCAAAGCTTTATGGGGAGGAGTCTGTTCCAGCCACATGGCTAGCTTTCCTCATTCACTGAAAACTTTGGGGAAAGGTGGAGGTGGAGCCAACCATGAAGGAGTCAGTGTAGTACCAGCCGGACTCCAGTTGGAGAAACCCCTCTTCTAGGGCAGCATCCTGAATCCCCGAGTTGGGAGGAAGGCTAAACCGGATTACTTCTGGGGAACGTTCAAGTGCTGATGCTCTGATTCTGTGGGAGATGTGGGGCTGGAGCTACACTAAGGCAACAGATGTCCACCAGCACAATCGTCTCTCATTTGGGGATCAGAGGAAGCTTCTGGCAGCCCAAGTCCATGGCACTACCATTTCTCCTTCCACTTAAGAGTGGTAAGAGAAATAGCATCTGTATAGGGCCGCATGCTTAGAAGGGCCCCCACCGGGTTTAATGCACTGTTGTCACTGACTTAAAATTCTTAGTAATTTTTGAGCAAGGGGCCTGACATTTTCATTTTGCACTGGGTCCCCAAACTATGTTACTGGTTCTGACTTTAAGGCTCCCAGAAGTGCCGTAGGGTTCACCCTCCTGTCATGGCCTCGGATGGAGAAATTTAATGACGTTGCCTGGAGGCCTCTGCCTGCCAGGCCTTGAACTCCAGATTTGACTCTCTGGGCCCCAGGAGGGTCTTACAGATGGTTCTGTTTGTGTGTTTGTTCTCTGAGCTGGAGCAGCTTCCTGGGTGTATGGAGTCAGAGCCAGGCTAAAACACTCTCAGGGTTGCTCCTAGCTTGCTTTAATCCCTGTGCCCTCTTTCCTCCTCCCCTCTTTCCTTAGGGAGTGTGTCGAGTGTAAGAAGTTCGACCACGGAACCCTATACACGGAAAACACCTGCAACCGTTACTGTCGTGATGAGGTTGAGTCTGTGAAGGAGCTTAGTAAGTTCAGCCTGTCAGTATTTCTGATTTAATCTCAGAAACTATCCAACTCTCATCTGTAACGTGGGGGAGTAATTTTGACCTCAAGGGCATGCAGACCTGATGCACAGTAGGCACTTAATGAAAGCTGACTAGAGAGTCCTCCTCACTTCTACTAATTTGTTCAGCCGATCCTCCCCTTTCTGATTCCTGGAACCCACAAACTCAGCAAGATCCTGCAAATAACTTTCAAAGCGTGTATAAATCAGGCAACTGAACTATATCTCCTCAAGGAAAGAAAGAGAAAGCACCCCCATTTTACAGATGAAGAAACTGAAGCGCAGAGTGGGAGAGTAGTTACCCACGACAGTCTTGGCTTAGTAGGCTAGTAAGCATTTACTAAGAATGCCCAGGCATTCAGCTTTGTTGAAGAACCTTCACCCTTACAGATTTGTAGCCAAAATCACATCTGAAGCCTTTGTGGCTCTCTAGAGCCCCTTGTGGAATAGACAAAGTGGGGAGCAACTCTTGTTTGCACCTATTCTGGTTTGTACTTCATTTTGACCTAAAGAAAATTATCTTTGCTGCTGTCAGCACATCTGATGTTGTTTTGGGGCCAGGTAGCATTGGGTGGGGCCAGGGAGATGGCCATCTCTCTGGAGATAATAATCTCCCACGCAAGCAGGAATCATGTTTTCAGTGAGAGCTACAGAAAGACACAGCCAATCAGTCAGCTTCTAGGCGGGGGTGTTATGGAAAAGGGTCAGATCTCTGGATCCTTTGGCGAATATCTGAAGTGGGGCTGGAATTAGGGTGATTTGGGGATTGAGTTTGAAGAAATAATTTTTTTCTCTGGAGGACACTGTGCTTGCTATGATCAGTTTAGGGAGGAGGGGCTGCTCAGATGTGAGATATTTTTGTTATCTAGACCAGATGGGTATTACAGGTTAGATGATAAGTATTTCTATACCCTACCTGCCATGATAATCATAAAAATAAATATTTATTTGTATGAAATTTTATAACTTATAAAAGTTATAAAAATATCTCTTCATGCACATAATCATCATCTTCTCCCAACAACCTAGTAAAGTAGAACTATAGGACTACTGTTATCTTCATTTTGAGGATGAGGAAATTGAATTTCAGGAAAGTTAAGTAACTTGCCCAAGCAAGTTAGTGGTGAGGTAAGATTAGAAATAAACCCTGAAATTCTTACTCTTTCCATAGTACTAGAATGCCACTGGTTCACTAAATTAAAGGCTTAATGAGTTAAAGTTTGTAGACTGTGCTTTGAGACTCATGCTAGTCACTTACTTGCTGAGTGACCTTGACACATTTGCTTAATCTCATTGTGTGTCAGTTTTACCCATCAATTTCATCAGTGTAGGGCAGCGGTTCTCAACCTGTGGGTCGAGACCCCTTTGGCGGTCGAATGACCCTTTCACAGGGGTCGCCTAAGACCATCCTGTATATTGGATATTTACATTATGATTCATAACAGTAGCAACATTACAGTTATGAAGTAGCAATGAAAATAATTTTATGGTTGGATCACAACATGAGGAACTGTATTTAAAGGGCCAGAAGGTTGAGAACCACTGGTGTAGGGCATGGTGCAGCTGGGAGAGGGTAACCCATAGTTTCACTGTCAGAATCACAGGCTTTAGAATGAGAAGGAATGAAACCTACAAAACATGATGGGAATCAGAAGAGAGGATGGCTCTGGAGAGAAACACTGGGTCAGAAGCAGAAATGGAGGAACTCTGAGGGCTGAATGAACAAACTATTGAGAATCATTGAGCAAGCAGAGAAATGAAAGAGAGGGAACGGAACACCCGCTCTTGACTTTATGCCATTTAATTTTCAACCATCTCTGTGAGGTGAGAGTATCGTTTTCCTTTTATTTATGAAGAAAGAGGAATTCATGAGGTCAAGTAACTTACCCAAGGTCACACAACTGGTAAGTGGTAGAGCCAAGCTTTGAATCAGATTGTGTAATACTATTATATCATGTTCCTTCCTGAGGAAGGAATAAGAACCAAAAAGGGGCGGTGAGGGACAAAGTACATCAGTCAGGGTCATTTGGAGGCAATTGCCGGGCACAACAGCCATCTCAAATCTAGGCACCTTGCCTAATGTCAAGCGTAGGTTTTTCTGTTACATAATTTCACAGAAATTCCATGAGTGGGGTTCGGAGATGACCCCATCTTCCAGGAATTGACCAATTTTTTCATTCTCTCATCTTCCCCTCTCTTCCAGAGGACACTGGCAAGGATGCAGTGAATTGCACCTACAAGAATGAGGATGACTGTGTCATCAGATTCCAGTACTATGAAGACTCCAGTGGAAAGTCCATCCTGTATGTGGTAGAAGAGCCAGGTGAGTGAACCCTGAGGGCCCCTGGCCCTGCCCCCAGGGAGAGGGAGAACCATGTTAGGCAGTTATTTCATCTATCATGCCTCTTAAATGGAACAGCCAGGTTAAGCCTGACCTTGCTAGGACAAGTGATAAGGTAGGGCCTGTCATCTGGGTACGAACGATATATAAATACAAATATTAGCAAGAAAGTGATTTCCTAATTGATGAAATAGAAAAATAAGGTGGATAAAGAGAGGAAGAATGTAAATATGGATCCCACGAAGGAACAAAATATATCATAGCATTTTTTTTGAGGTGATAATGTTAAGAAGTAAGGAATTTAAATTCTAGGACTTCTCTGCACAAGGCATCTGCTCTACTATAAGTTAAATGGTTGCCAAGAGCAACCAGCTTGCTGCTTCAGAGGAAGGCCTGATGGTTTGAGGTGCTGACCTTACCAGGTTCACTATGAGACATGGTAAAGGGTTTGAGTTACCAACCCAAGGCTTCCCTAAGCACTAAAAATATAGTGCTTGCTCTCAAGGCCCTCTGGAGGCAGGTGGAACTCATGTCATCATGTACAGACCAATCACGGGTTTGTCACCATCCAACACAGTAGATCTGCTTGCTTTTCCTTACCACCTTCCTCTTCTTCCTTTCCCTTAAGCAATAGATTAAGATATAAATCACTAGAAGATAGTTTTGAGTACTTATTATATATCAGGCAGTGACTTGCCTAGGTGCTGGGAATATAACAGTAAATAAGGCAGATGCAAACGTGGCACTCACAGACCATGGGGGAGACAGGCCTGTAAACCAGTAGTGAGGGATAAAGGCCATGGTATGGTGGGGGTGGACAAGAACTTAATGGAGTGCCCTAGCCGGTTTGGCTCATGGGATAGACCATCAGTCCATGGACTGAAAGGTCCTGAGTTCAATTCTGGTCAAGGGCACGTACCTCCATTGCAGGCTTGATCCCTGGCCTTGGTCGGAGCAGTGTGTGGGAGGCAGCCAATCAATGTGTCTCTCCCGCATCAATGTTTCTCTGTTTTTCCCCCTCCCTTCCACTCTCTCTAAGAATCAATAGAAATATATCCTTGGGTGAGGATTAACAACAACAACAAAAAATAACTTAAGGGAGTGAAGGAACAATCTCCGCAGACAGAGGCTAAGTTGGTCGGTTTACATTCTTTACAGCTGTAGGGAGTTCAAATCATTCTTTTGACCGAGGCGGGCAGACTTCTTCTGTAAAGGGCCAGATGTTAAATATTTTTGGATTTGTGAGCCATGTGGTCTCTGCTGTGACTACTCTGCCACTGTAGCAGGAAAGCAGCCATAGGCAATATGTAAATGAAGGAGTCTGGCTGTATTTACAAAACCAGGTGGCAAGCAGCACTTTGCGGGCCAGTTTGCTGACACCTGCTTTACAGCAGTGGTTATGAAACTTTTGTGTTTTCTTGTTAAAAAAAAAAAAATCCAGAGTCCTGAGCCCTGACCTATTTCCACAAAATTATGCCTCTGGGTTCTTCATTAATGCTCTTGGTAATTGTGGTGTACCCCAATATTTTGAAGTGATAATGCTTTAGACACATCACTTGCCCCAATGAGCCTTCTCAGGCCTCCTCCAGCCTCATTCCGCTGACCAGGTTTAGTGCTCCTGTTTGATTCCCATAGCAGCCCTGCTTCCCTTAAAAGGCCTTCATCATACTGTTGAATTGCTTCTTCAGTCACCAGTGTCTCTCAGTAGATTATAAACTCCATAAACACGGGAACTATCTGTCTTATCAACTGTTATATCCCCATACTTGGCTCAGTCATCTACAGAGAAGATAATAAATGGCTTGTGAATGAATCAATAGGACTGGTTATTCCTAGGAGACAGGCAAGCTTATATACATCTTGATATTTGTTAGGACAGTTTTGGCTGCTTATAGAAGGAAGGGGGTGAAAGTGGGCAAAGGGCTGCTACAGCGATGTCACCCAGCTTGTTGCTGTCGCCATGAGTACGGGAGAGCATGATGCCCCCATCTGTGATATTGTTCATCCACTTTTTCCAGAGCTCTCACCCTTCATAAGGGAAAAGGAAGATAAAGAAAGGGCATCACCTCAGTTTTATTTAGTGACTCAAGGGAAAGCTGACATGAGGAAGGGGAGAAAGAAGTCTGGGTGTATATCTGTGGAGAGCAGATGTGGATTATTTGGACGTGACGTTCTCACACTTTCCCACCCATCTGTGTTAAACCATTTCACAGGTTTTCCACACCCACCTTATGGGTACCTTTGCCCCTTCTCATTTCAGAAGGGTGGTATGTTCTTGCTTTTATACCCAGCTGTTTTCATGAATTTATTTACCTAGCTCTGGGTATATAATCTTGCAGATTACTTCATCTCTTTGCTACATCCTTGCTGTTACTTCTGCTGTGTCACTTACCAAATCTTTTGGCTGGGTATTCTGAGACTGGAACCTTCTACTTGGAGTGGTAGAGAACAAAGATGATGATAACCTGGGATGGTTCGAATAACCCCTGGAGGGAGATAACTTTTCTGACTTACTGACAGTAGGCCTCTTCCTCCACATTAGGAGATAGGACCCAGACCCAGATTTCCTGTCTTACTGCCTTGAAATTCCAAATTCTGCCTCTCTCTCCTCTTACCCAACCTGAACCATTTTCAGGGGCTCTGGCTTTGAGTAGAATGTAGCATTCTACTGAAGTATAGAAGGAGATTATTTTAGTTCTCTTCCCTAACTCATGCCCTTGCAGAGGCTCTCTTTGAAAGACAGGAGCCACTGCAGGGTAGTAGAGAGATTGCCAAAGGGTTTGGCATTGACTAAGTGGTGTTAGGCCTTAGCTAGGCCCTGGTTGCTCCTGGATAGGATTGCCTGATAAAATACAGTATGTCTATGCAATATTTGGTACATACTTATGCTAAAAAGTTATGAATTCAAATTTAATTGGACTTCCTGTACTTTTGTCAAATCTGCTAACCTTACCCAGTCTTTCCTGACCCCACCATGGGTCCTCGTCACTGTGGCTGGAAGGACCCTCCAGAGACCCCCTGCGGGAAGCCTGCCATCCACCCCTTTCAAGACAGATGGTTAACAGATATCCCCAACCCCACAAAGACCTCCTGGCATTCTACTTGTCCTGCCCATACTGACATGCAGAATTGAAGAGATTTCACTTTGGGATTGGGGGGCTTGGCTCTCCCTCAATCTTCCAGAGAATTCATAATTGTTTTTTCCCAGAAGAACTGAGCCGTTCACCCCTGGGAACTCAGACACTGGAACCTCACAGCTTCTCTCCAGGCGCTCCTTTAATTATAGACAGGTTGTAATTTGGTGGCTTGGGAAAATGCCAGCTTGGGTTTGTGGTGGTGGTTGTTTTTGGGCAGTGTGTGGTGAACATAGGGTGCATGTTTAGAGAGGAAGGTGGGAGACAGTGTGGAAAGTGGGTGTGACCTCCTCTCCAGACCCATCCATAGGCATATATACAAACACTTAATTACATAACACCTGAGAAGTTGCTGGAGTGAGGTCACCCATCAGACACTTGTGGTTATGGGAAGCAGAGCTCTGCTGAGCATACTTATCCTGGCCCTCAGAGGGGTGACGCACCTCTGTCTGTGTTGGTTGTTGACTGGGGTTGAAGAGGAAGTCAGCTCTCAATAGGGTTAGGATTTTAGATGACTACATATTTTGGGAAGGAACCCAAAATATTGTCTTGGTTGGCAGGCCGCCTGGTCTCTAAGTATGCTGGAAAAGGTCATCAGGTTCCCAGCCCTCGGGGATGTAAATATTTGGACTAGGGTAGCAGACTCAAATACTTACAGGAGCTAAGTAAATAAATTAGTGATTACAGCCAGGTATAACAAGAACACCACCGATAATGGTAGCTGATAATTATTGCACACGAATGCTATGCCAGGCATTGCTCTGAGTTCTTTTAATTCCTTAAGTATTCCTCATAGCAAGTTTCCAAAGTCAGTGCTGCTACTTTCTCCATTTTAAAGACAGTAAAACAGGAAACAGACACCCAGAAAGGTTAATTTATCAAAGGTCACATAGCAAAGTAAGTGGTAAACCAGGACTCAAACCCATGCAGTCTGGTTCCAGAGCCCACACACAGTAGCACAGATTCAATGGCAAGCCATACTTTGCTACTGTTTAGTGGAGAAAAGAGCAAGTGGTGAGGACTGTGGCCAACATGTCCTATCTAAAAGAGGCAGTTGTGCCTGGCCAATGTGGCTCAGTTGTTGAGTGTCAACCCATGAACCAGGAGGTCATGGCTCAATTCCCAGTCAGGGCATATGACCGGGTTGCAGGCTCTATCCCCGGTAGGGGGCATGCAGGAGGCAGCTGATTGATTATTCTCTCTCTTCACTGATATTTCTCTTCCTCTCTCCCTCTCCCTTCCTTTCTCTGAAATCAATAACAACATATTTAAATCAAATAATAAAAGGGGCAGCTGCTCCTCAGCCCTCACCAGTTGCTGCCCTGTAAAAATATAGGTCCAGTGTTTCTAGATCATTGGATTTTTTAAAAGAAGAATCTGAAATTTTAAGGGGAGACTCCTGATTATCCTTGTTGCCATTAAAATAAAATGTTTAATAAATACTGTGTGAGCCCACATCAAATAGACTAGACTCTGCCTATGGGTGACAGGCTCACGGCCTGATTTAAACCACTTAGCACAGATGATTGCTGTCCTAAAGGTTGCCCTCTCTCCTTTTAAATAGTAATTAAGCCTGGCAAGCGTGGCTCAGTGGTTGAGCATTGACCTATAAATCCAGGAGGTCCCAGTTGTATTCCTGGTCAGGACACATGCCCGGGTTGTGGCTTGATCCCCAGTGTGAGGCATGCAGGAGGCAGCCAATCAATGATTCTCTCTCATTGTTGATGTTTCTATCTCTCCCTCTCCCTTCCTCTTTGAAATCAAGTAAAAAAGATCAATAAGATCTTTAAAAAAAGATATTATTTGTAGCCAGTTCAAGTGATTTCTGCTCCAATCACAACCACCCTGCTCTGTGCTATCTCCGGACAGAGTGTCCCAAGGGCCCCGACATCCTGGTGGTCCTGCTCTCAGTGATGGGGGCCATTCTGCTCATTGGTCTTGCTACTCTGCTCATCTGGAAGCTCCTCATCACCATCCATGACCGGAAGGAGTTTGCGAAATTTGAGGAAGAACGAGCCAGAGCAAAATGGGACACGGTAAGAGACTGGGCTGGATTTTCTTAAGCTGTTGGCTTGGAGCCTGAAGTGGTCGCAGCAGATGCTTACGGTGGCCAGGTTCAGCCAGTAGCTTTCCATTTAGCCTCTGATCTGGAAACTGGGCGATGGTCTAACTGTTCCGCTGTCCTTACGCTTCCTGGAAACCACCTGATTCTCTCTCTACCACCACAGGCCACATCAGTGAGTACTGGCTGAGCACAGATAGGGCCCGACCCTGCTGTGAACACTATGAAGAGATGACAAGGAAACAATCTCCAATGGAGGGAGACAGACAAACTTGAGAATCCTACATGGAGAACACAGAGTATATATATAGAATACGTAACACATTATATACTAATGAGGTTTAAAGCATTAAACACAAACAGGAAAAAAATATTAAAATAGCTAACATTTACTGAGGAGTTACCATGTACCAAGAACTGGTACATGAATTGACTTATTTCACCCTATAACAACCCTATGTGACAGGCAACCTTTTTATACTCATTTGTAGATAAAGAAACTGAGTACAGAGAAGTGTGGAGGGGAGGGATTAGGTTATCCCTTTTTGGGTCAATCGCTTAGGAATAGTAGCAGGATGTCATCCCATCTTACCAGTATTCTTTTCTGTTTTCTCAAATGATGATGATAGCTTCTAAATCAGACTCCACTTTTGTGCTCCCCGAAGTTTATCGTAGCTAATTGAATCCAAACAAGCATTTTTTGAGAACCTTCCATATACTTAATTTAATTCAATTCTCCTTTGGCTCATCTTCATTTCAGCTTTTTTCTGGACCTTCCAAATGGCCATTTGACTCCCTGACTGTCCAAGTTTAGGCTATACGTTTGTTCCCATTGGATGAGGACCTCAGGACTTTGTACCCCAGGGTCCCAAGAAACTGAGATGTTTCTGTTCAGAAAATGCAGAAATCCTGAGCCTCTGAGGCACGCGAGAATATGTTGTGCTTCTTGAAGCTACCAGTAAGGGCCACCAGACCTTATGGCACTTGTCACTTTTTACTAGAAATTAATTTGGGAAATCTAGTGAGGGTCTTTCTTTTTCCTGATAACATGACAGTTTGTGGGTAGTACTTGAAGGGATAAGATGAGAACATATTCAGAATTATTTGTGTAAAAGCTTTCCTCTATGTTCCAAACACCATTTTCCACATCTCTCTTCCCTGCCTACTTCCCTAGCATGGTCACAATAAAGGAAAAAGGGCAAAGGAGAGAGTATTGGAGAGAGGGAGGAACTGATGGTTCAAAGCTTATCCTGAAATGTTTGGGATCACCAAAAAGGGATGGGATGAATTTAACCCCTTAGAAATAGTGGCAGGATGGCATTCCATCTTGTCTCTCTCTCTCTCTCTTTTTTTTTTTATCCATTCCCATCTTAAGAGTGAATGTGTGAGTACAATGAGCATTAACCTGTTCACCGATGGTGGATCCCAGAGAAGGGTCTCTTGGGCAAATTTCTCAGATGAAAGTATAAGCCTTGAGGGCAGGGTAGAACTGAAGATTCACTGTAAGACCCTTTTCTATTCTCTCCACAGGCCAACAACCCACTGTATAAAGAGGCCACATCCACCTTCACCAACATCACCTACCGGGGCACTTAATGACAAGCAGTCGTCCTCAGATCACTAGCAGAGTGTCCCAGGATTGTGGGCAACTCTGCCGTCATGTTTACAGGGGACAGTATCTGTGGGGCGGGATTGGGGACTTGGAGTGAGGTGGGGTGGGAGAATGTGAATGCGTGGAAGTGTGGGTCTCTGTGCATGAGAGCGTGTGAGTGGGTTGCGTATGGGGGAATGTGTAATTTAAAACTCGTGGCGTGTCCCAGATCAGCAGAGCTCCTCAGCCTTTGTCCTCAGAATGCCTCCTTCAGGGATTCCTCCTGCTTAACCTGAGGGTGACCTGCGTAGCTGAGCAGATGTTCTTCATTACCTCAGAGAGAAGCCAGCTTTCCTTCTCCGGCCATTCTCCCTGAAGAACAGAGCAGGGCTGAGGCCTCTCATTCCAGAGAACGGGACTTTGATTCCGCCCTGAGTTTATGGTTCTTGGGCCTGACTCTCAGCAGCTATGGCAGGAATTGCTGGGCTGTGTAGCCTTGTGTCACCTGTTCCCGTCTCCTTTCCCCTCCCTCAGGCTGAAGGAGAATTCAGGGGAGAGCCGAATCATCAGAGCTGCCCGTGCCTTTGGCTATCCCCTCAACCCAGCATGGTTCTCTCAGTAGGGGAGTCCTTGCTACTGAATTCTTTCATCTATTGGGAGAGAGGATGGCAGGGCCATCCAGGGGTCATGCATGGCCTGGGGAATGTGCCAGGGTCCCGCAGCTCAAAATGACCCTTCAGATTTGTCCCATTGGCAGCTCCATCCTAGAGGTTCATTTAGAAGTGTTTCACCCTTAGACCAGCACTGCCTCTTACCTCCTATTTCCACATGCTCACTGCTGTAGATGTTTGCTGCATACTGGGACTTTCATGGCCAAAAGCTTTTCCTCCCAGAAAGGGTGCTATGGTTAGAGCCAGAGGTCTGGCCCACCCTCAGGCCTTCTGCCCTTGTCCAAGGCACTTCCACACACTCTACCCTGTGCTTTTATGTGCTAAATCCATCCACGGGGATGATTGCCTTTATCTACCTCTGGGGTGTCTTGAGAAGGAGTCATTCCCACGGGTCTCTGAGTCTGTGCTGGGCATAAGTGCCAGGGTGAAATGATGGGCCAGTTGCATCAGCATGTGTGGCCTATTCTCCCTCGGGCTGGGCAACCTCATTTTAACTCAGTCGTTAATCTGAGAGGTCACAAGTGCAATTTTCTTTTCTTTTTCTCATTGGGGCACCTGGGACCACAATGAGGCTTAAACTAAAGGACCATGTATATAAACACACTTGTATTATATTTGTAATTTTATTTGATGACAAGGAAGGAGAGTATAAAAAAGCCACAGAGACTTGGGCTGGATATAGACAGCCCCATGTGGCATCACTCAGAGCAAGTCATTGCCCAGTTGTGGGATCTGTAAAGGCTTTCTTATCCTGGAAGCCTGTGGGGATGGATGCATGGACATGCTGGTCCTTTCCTGAGGAGGAGGGAAATGGCCAATAGCAATAGCAGTTGCTCCATTGGTGTTTACATTAACAACTACCCTCTCAGTCTCCAAGAAAAAGGGGAGGATCTATAAACAGTGATCTGATGATCAGAAAATCTAAGATCTGGCCTCAGTGTTGCAGTTAAGGAATCTTTAAACGTAATTAAGACAAGTCACTTTGTTCTCCCTGAGGCTCAGTTCTCTAGTTCGAAAAATGATGGGTTTGGACCAGTCAGTCTAGAACAGGGGTGGGCAAACTTTTTGACTCGAGGGCCACAATGGGTTCTTAAACTGGACCGGAGGGCCGGAACAAAAGCATGGATGGAGTGTTTGTGTGAACTAATATAAATTCAAAGTAAACATCATTACATAAAAGGGTACGGTCTTTTTTTTTTTTTTTTTAGTTTTATTCATTTCAAACGGGCCGGATCCGGCCCGTGGGCCATAGTTTGCCCACGGCTGGTCTAGAAGGTCTCTTTTAGTGTCAGAATTCTAAGATGTTGGGACTTACTTTGAGATCAAACTCACCATGAAGATTCTGTGGGATGTTGATATTGCTTATTTTTTTAGTTGGGAGAGAGACCTGGCTTTGGCAAGAGCAGATGTCATTCCACATCACAGATGTTATTCAATGAAAAAGCCTCATTCTATCCGGTCTTTGAGCCTCTTCTCCAACTTTTGTTAGCAGTTACATCTCCTGACACTGTAGTCTTTAAGCTCCACTTAGTTCCTATTTCTTAGTTCACTTTGCACACATTTGCATCCACATATTAGGGAAGAGGCACCCATAAGAAGTAGCTGAAATGTGTGGTTTGTATCCAGGTGTTAACCTTGAGAATAAGCCTTGGAATTAGGAATGGGGAAAATGACTGAGCCCTGCCTGACCCACGGATTATCCTTTACTGTAGGGGATGGTAACATAGTGGAGGGATAAATGAGGGATGGATAAGGAATCCAAGAAGTTTAGAACCTAACTGTCACCTTCAGCTAGGGAGACAAGAGTCCATTAGAGTAGTAGTACATTTTCTTTAGATAAGATGGCTTATATAAAGAAACTATATCAAAGGAGAAAGAATATGTATCCAATAGACTAAAACATCAAGGGAATCTTGTGTGAGCTTCTGGAATGAGGCTCATAGGCCTTGAAGACCAGCACTGTTTGTCTATATGTGGAGGAACCTGTAATGTGTTCGGGAGAGAGCATATAGCAGTGAGTTTTGGCATCATGTGGGGTGAACATCTGAATAGTATTTTGGCATCAGATAACATAGCACAAAAAAGGCCATTCGTGCTCTGCTCTTTTGGAGATATTTCATGTTCAGTCTCAGGGTCTGTGGACAGTAATGGGAAACTTTGACCATTCCTGACAAGTTGTCACATAAGGAGTCGGTTCTTTGTCATTCAGATATTCCTAGCCCATCCATGATTTCAAGATACTTCTCTCCATTAAGTATTACTGGTCGAAATGACTTAAGTGCTTTCCTGACTTCCTAGCCTGTTTGAGTTGTGCAACAATGAATTAAATGTGTTTTCCAAAAAGAAGTGGCCTATGGCTGCCCAGTGCTTCCTGTGTTGTTATTTCTGTTTCCTTTGGGTGAAAATAATGATTATTTTAGAACAAGGGTGTTTCCAAATGCAACAGAATGATGACTACTACCGAAACTAAAGTTAGCTTCAGAACCTAGAGCTTTTCTTTACACTTTAATAACATTTTCAAAATGAACAGGCTATGACTGTTCTAAGAGTTACTTTTTTTTTTTTTTCTAATTGGGGATTTTTAGGAACTTGCGTAGCCTCAACTAAACAGACTGTCAATTTAGTCTAGGTTCTGTTTACAGGAAGCATGAACTGATAAAATAAGGCTTAATGGTAAATTATTTACAGGACCATTTAACTGCCCTTTTATTTAAGGCAGTGGGTCTCAAAATGTGGTCCCAGGACCATCAGCATCAGTATTACCCAGGAACTTGTTAGGAATGAAAATTCACAGGCCTCACCCCAGAACGACTGACTCAGAAAATCTGGGAGTGGACCCAGCATTTTGTGTTTTAATAAGCCCTCTTGGTGATTCTGTTAAACGCTCAAGTTTGAGAATCACCGATTTAAGGATTCACATACCTATTGTTCTGGCCTAGAAAGAAATTTCCAGTAAGTCAGTTCAGTTACTAAAAGATTAAGAACCTACCTTGGCTGGCAGATTAAGAAAACCAAATACTTACTCACAAAATGAAAATCCATTTTCCAAGTTAAGTGATCAGAGGCTTTTGGGTTCACTCACAGCCACAAATTCCCATGAAAAACTAAAAAAAAGTAATAGATCAGAATCACAGGGAGGGGAGGGCAGCTAACAAAATACTTGGCAGGCATCTAAGAAAACTTCTTATGGGTACCAAGCTGAAGCAAGAAAATACTCTCACAGGTATTCACGGGAGATGGGGTTGAAATCTTAATCGTTAACGTTGTCATCCAATAGGATGCCAGAATAAGACTTTAGAATATGTACGTTCACTTGCAATTTAAAATGTATTGAGCGCCAGCAGAGTGGGATTGAAGTATTTTACAGAACACTCATAACATAATTGTTGCCTTTGAGTCTTACATTCCTTACTAATGTAAATTTTTAAACACAATAGAGTGCATGGCATAAAAAGATAATGTGAACATAGACTGAGTCCTTTTATGATGAAATTTTGTAAGACCCACTGTTTTATTTACATTATGGTAACTAATGACTAAATGTCTGGATGAAAATGGAGGACCTTATGTGGAAACTAAATGAAAAGCTACATGTGAAATCATATTTGTAATCCCTTAACTCTTGGTCTCTGTAGTCTGACTCTAGAGTAAGAGTCATCTAATAACCACTGGGACCAATTACAAGAAGGTTGTCTCAGAATTTTAGTGCACTCATTCTTCATACTGATGTGAGGAAGAAATAGCAAATAAGCCATTTAGGCCCTGAACAGTGTTGCTAAGTGGTTAGAAGATTGGCCTACACACCAAAGGGTCAGGGGTTTGATTCTGGCCAAAGGCATGTACCTGGGTTTCAGATTTGATCCTTGGCCCTGGTTGGGGCGCATGCAGAAGGCAACCAATCAATGTGTCTCTCTCACATCAATGTTTCTCTCTCTCTCTCCCTCTCTCTCTCTGTCTCTCCCTCCTTCCCATCCAATCTCTCTAAAAATCAATGGGAAAAATATCGTTGGGTGAGGATTAACAAACAAAAAAAGCCATTTAGTACTTGTTGTCCTGGTTGCTGGCTCAATTCCCAGTAGGGGGCATACAGGAGGCAGCCAATCAATGATTGTCTCTCATCATTGATGTTTCTATCTCTCTCTCCCTCCCCTTTCCTCTCTAAAAATAAATAAATAAATAAATAAATAAATAAATAAATAAATAACAACAATAATAAATGCGTGTGATCAAGGTTAACCATATTGGTAAATAAGAACATTTAAATCCACTTAATGAGAATGGTTTCTATGTGTAAGGAAAATTATAGGTCAGGAAACATGATTGTGTTCCATGAAGCTGCTGTCGTAATGATGTCTCTCCAACCTCTTGCATAGAGGAAACATTTTCATCAGTTGTGTATTTTCTGACAATACAACAAAGAATGCACACAGAATATAAGTATCTAGAAAGCAACATTTAGGATATTTAAGAGCCTTTAAAAGGCAAAACCTCCATTGGTGTCCCTGAAAAGAACTTTGTAAAGGAAAAGTTTCACTATTCATTGTGTTTTACCTAATATATTAGTTGGGTTTTCCCATGACTCATACACAATTAGCTTATTCTTTGAAGAGGCCAGGGTAATGGGTGTGTAAATATCATTGGTGATTAATGGAAATACTTTGTTAAAAAAGGAAAAATGTTGATGAATGCTGGACTTTGCTTTTCCTGACCCTTATAATCAATCACCCATTGTGCCCCCATATATGTTTTCCCCTTCTCACATAATATTAAAACTCCTAATTTTTAGTTGGGCACGTGGCTGCTCAGACTAAATACTATGTTTTCACCCTGGCCTGTTTGGTTCAGTGGTTGAGCATTGACCTATGAACCAAGAGGTCATGGTTCAATTCCTGGTCAGGGCACATGCCCGAGGTTGTGGGCTCAATCCCCAGTTGGGGATGTGCAGGAGGCAGCCGATCAATGATTCTCTCTCATCATTGATGTTTCTCTTTCTCTCTCCCTTCCTCTTAAAATCACTAAACATATATTTCTTTAAAAGTACTAAAGAATGCCTACATAGGAGTGCTTAAGGTACAAAGTAGCATCACTGAAGGAATTAACTATTGTAACATTTATTGAGCGCGTATGCAATTTTTAATTATCACAATCCTGGAAGAATGAGAAAATTGAGACTGAGAAAGCATAAGTAACTTGCCTCACTGCATTCATTAAATAAAAAGTTAAGAATTGAACTTGGATAGATCTGTCTATAAAGCCCACGCTATTCACCACAATGTAAATAATGGAGAGCTCAGGTTGGATCAATTCATGTGAACAAATTGCTTGTATGTTTTTAAAGAAAAGATACTTTAAGTTGTGGGCTTTAGGAAGGAAATATTTTCGAAACACTTTGCTTGACAGAGCATTTACAACTCTAGCAAATCTTGCAAATGATTAACTTCACCGAATTGGCTCTACACAACCTTTTAACAACATCATAACTAGGGAAAGCCAGAAAACAAAACAAAACGCTTTGTCTTTTCTTTTACTAGTATCATTTCATTTGCAGGATGCAGGGAAAGAGAAGTTAATTAAAACAAAAACAGACAAACAGAAAACCCCTTAGTGTGTCTCCCAAAAGTAAGGATTAGTCTTCTGAAGCCTGGAACAAATGTCAGCAAAGCAATGGGACAAATGGCTTCAAGCTGCTGCTCACTTTTGAGCAGAAGAACCAAGAGGATGGAATGGTTTAGAAAAAGAGGAAGGTGGGAAGTATTCAAAGATGGACAAGAAGAGCCCTAGCCTGTTTAGTTCAGTGGATAGAGCAGGGGCCTGCAGACTGAAGGGTCCTTGGTTCAATTCCGGTCAAGTGCACATGGCCAGGTTGCGCCTTGATTCCCCAGTAGGGGGCGTGCAGGAAGCAGCCAATCAATGATTCTCATCATTGATGTTTCTCTCTCTCTCTCCCTCTCCCCTCCTCTCTGAAATCATGTTCATTCTCTGGCCCCATTTCAATATTACTTCTTGTCCATTTAAGTAATATTGAAATGGAGCCAGACAAG